GAGCTTCCAAGCTGAAAAGCACAAAAATGAACCTGACTGTTCTATGTCCAGAGCAGACAGGGATATTGGGTTTAGCACAGAAAGCCTACATGGGCCACAAGGCCAGAAGAGCCATGATTGCAGCTCTGGGAAGACTGTCTACAAGGGCTTGGCTGAGGCAATGTAACTACTGTCTTAATTGGTTTGAAAGGGACCTTAGCCAGCTCAAGGCATAGCTGTCAGTGATTTAAGTCACTGAGACTTGGAGGATTTAAAGAACATTTTCATAGTTAATTGTGTCTGAATGCTCTTGAACCTTCCAATCAGGCACAGTTGGGGGCACTTTTTGTTTTCCATTCAAAGTACCCCTAATTTTATACACTTTCTCATCCTCCACTTCAACTCAATAGACACCACTCTAATTCCTTGATTAAAATCTGCCATCACCTAAGAAACAAGCAAACAAACCAAAACAAAGTGTACCTTGTAGAAGGAAGGCCAGGTTACTTAGTCCCAATCAGTCTTGAACATTATCCACTTTAAGTGAATACATTCCATCTGCTTTGGAGAGGATATTTTAAAATACAGTTGATTAGACAAAAGCATATTGCCTGCATGAGAAAGACGGTGAGGGCAACGATGGACTCATACATGTGTAGTTTCTGTTTTACAAATGGCCTGATTCCCAAAGCACTCAAGCATCATGAATTTGCTAAGCTATCTTTTCTGAAACCCTAAAAAAGGGACTAGAGATCAGAGCCTTCTAATGTGGAATATGCCAGAGAAGACTGCCATTGCCTAAGGGGAATATGGTTAGAAAGACAGATTTTTTTTTATTGTTTTGTTTGTTTGCTTGTTTTTTTACCTTCAGAGGACTCAGAACTCAACAAATAGAAACAAATTGGGATCTTTGGGAAATGCCTTGAACCCTCCAGTTATTTTTAATAAATGATATTTCTATTTCAATTGATCGGCCTTGAGTTTTTGACAAAGGTGCCACCACCAGGTCATTTTCTGCAACACCTTAGAATAATACTTGATTTAATTTTCATTTATTGCTCTATCTTAGAAGAAAATAGAACTCTGTTATCGTGGGTTTTGAAAGTTGTTTGGTGAACTGAATGAGTTCTTAGTTGTAGGATACTACCATTGTAGCCATTGTAGTTTAAGGGTAAGTTTAGATTTAAATCTCTAGCTATCATGGGAAATGAGATAGGGGTTATGCTTCTGCATAGTGCTGAGATTGCTATTCTTCTAATGGAAGATTATTTAGATAAACAACATGGTTGCCTTAGAAGATCAAAGAACTAAGACAAATTCAGAGGTGGTTAGTAGGAATAAGTGTGAAGAAGAGCCTACTGTGGTTCAGGAAGGAAAGAAGAGCGTGATTGACAGGAAAGTACTTAGGTAACCCCAATGCAAAATCATGATGTGTAAGGAAGTCTTAGCTTTCAGGAATGTTGTCATTATCCTAGCAGTGGATTCTTCTCACCAGGACATTTGAGTTCTGTTGGAAACCAAGAAATGTTTAAAAGCCTGAATAGAGACCGCTGACATCATTTTAGCCTGAGTAGACTAGTGATTGATTATAAATATTTTTGTGTTAACAATCCAATTGGACACACATTATATTCACAAAACTTTTATAGAACTAATTCTACAAGATGTGACAACAGAGTAACCACAGTCCGACAAGTCACTGCAGGACAATGCCTACGAGGAGGAAGCACAACTACATTGGCTCTGCAGGGAGTGGACAGAGGTGGAAGCTCATTTTGCCTACATTGGTAATTGGAGTCCTTAGTGGACATATATTTTCATGGTGATTGCATTGCTTTGCTCTGATCTGATTTGTACTATCATAACTAGGTACCACAGAGCCATGGTCATCTAAAACATTAATGGAGAAGGTGTCATGGGACTTTGTGGGCTATTTTGGTTAGATTGAGAAAGTTTCCACATTTTACATTTTTAAGAAAATAAAAATCACAGTCACGCCCATGCTTTTCCAGAGACCCCGATGATCATATCAGAGGTTGGTCACCAAGAAGTTGAAAGACTTTCTGAGTCATTGGAACAAAACAGTTGTTGAGTGACTATACACTGGGCATGCAACAGCAGAGATGAGACATCACAATTGCATCTGATGGCTAGAAAATCTTTTGACCACAGGTTGAAGTGGCTGATACATTTGATTTCATTGCTGGTAATTTTCAAAGGCCTTTTTCTAACAGTCTACTGTAATTAGCATGACTTACTTTCCTTTCGGTTGGTATTAGTTTCATAAATATTTTTAGCGAGTTTGAATGTTTTGTCCCAGCAATTCAACCAAGGAAAGCCAGCAAATGCAAATCTGAGCCAAAGACATCTCCTTGACAATGGACATTGTCTGCTGTCTAAATAAATACTGCATGCTAAACATGAGTACTTCTTAGATCCCAGCGTTTGGTAAAACTACTCAGTGATGTTCACAAACTTCCAGGCTAATAGCTCTGAATGGGGAAAAGAATTCACCAGATCCTCCCACAGTTGACAGAACTTGCTGGGGTGATTTAGAAGTATGAAATGAGGAGCATACCAGCTTGGAGGAGGCCCCACCATGAGAACAACAAACAAGCCTGCTCGTGGTGCACAACTTCCGCATTCTAGATGTGCCTGCATATTTTGAGCTGGCTGCTTAAACCTGATCTGGCAACTGCAGAAAAGCTGCAAAAAGCTCTTTCTTTTAAATATATGAACAAAGGCTATGAAATGCTGCATGAAAACTGAAACTACAGAGATCTGACTTTCAATTGTGAGGATAAGTAAGTTTGATTTGCTAAGAGCTGGTGTTAAAACAGATCTAAACACGCACCCATCTGGGGAGAGGCAAATATTCACCTCTGCTCTTGGGACTTACTTTTAATTTACTGAAATATGTGTGTAGATTGTTGACTACCTTAAATTCTTTTAGTAATCCTTTTTCCTTAATTACAAATTGGGGTGGTGACCATCATTCTCCTCAAAGAAAAAGAGAGAAAGGAGAGAAATACACATTAAGGAATCTGGCCACTTACTCATTTTGATTTAACATTGCTGTGATGTATGGGAAGATAATCCGGCGATGAAAAAAAAGAAAAGAAAAAAATATATTTTCTTTCTAATAAATAAAAATAATTTAAAACCCTAGAAGCTATACATGACTATTTTAGTATGTTCATTTATAAATGAAATCATTTTTTTTTCCAAAATACATGGAAGCAATATTCAAGGCAAAGAGAAAGATCTGTCTACTTTATTTTCTTGCAATTCTTGCTTACTCTAGTGTTCCCACCAGTGATTCGGCATGGAAGAGGACGAGAAGTCACATCACCATTAGGAAGTTTGTCAGGCTTTAAAAAAATAGTTCTGGTCTCCTGGGAGTCAACATTCATCTTCAACTTCTCTGATTGGAGGGATCAAGCTGCTTGTGGATTTATATTGGTTGATCTGGTTAGCCATGTGGGTACTCATGGGCTTGATTTGAATGTTTCTGGGATAGGCATTATCCGGTTCATCTGTAAACCATTTCTTTTCTGCTAAAGGGCAAAATGAATAGAGAACAAGAAGGAAAAATGAGAAGCTTAATTAGTCCTAGGTTAAGTTTTTGGAAAGTTCATTGAAAATGCATAAAGGAAATCAATAGAAGCTGACAGTGAGTAATTGCTAAGACAGTGCAGTGGACAGAAGCCCCCAGAACCTGAACCATGCCTCTCTTTCCTGTAGCAAGTAAAGAACAAAGTGAATCTGCTATTGAGCCTGGGAGACTCTAGGAGTTGGCCAACCTCGAGACTAAGCTGGAGTGGACATATACGGTCCCTACTGTGGAACAAACGCTTCGGACGCTTTCCTGGTTTCACCTCTACCCAGCCTTTTCCTGTCTTTGTTCTGACATGTAGATTCAAAGGCAGATGTCAACTGTACCACTTCTGTCCTGCCTGCATCCCTCCAGTGGTCTGGTGGAGGAGGTGTCCTAAAGAAATCCCCTAGGATTTGTTAGCCAATGAGAGTAAAAATCAGAATAGAAAACCGTTCTAAAAGAGTATTTTGAAAAGGTTTTTACTTAAAGAAAGATAAGTCGGTGGATATGAAGTCATGGAAAGAGTTGCAGGTGGCAGTGTCTCCACTGACTATAATAACCCAAGTTGTTGGCAGAGAGCTCGTGGGGCCTTGCCACTTTCCTTCCATCCCACACAGGAAAGGCTGAGAGAGACTGCTGAGTCAGGTCAGGGCGGGGTGGGGTGGGCTGGGAGGGCAGCTCTGCAGCGGAGCAGCCTCTTAGCTGGCTGGGCTATTTTACAGGGTTCACGTCTATCTACGCCCCTTTCTAGGATTGAAATTTTCTGAAAAGTTGGCCATGTGTACGGACGGGAAGGGACTGAGAAGCGGAATATCTAGCTTGGGGGTCTGTAGACTTTATTACAGTGACAGAAGGAAGGGGGGGGGAAAGGAAACCAGTTTGCCAACGCTGTCACTGCTCTAGAGACAATGGTCCCTCTGGCTTCTGTTTTTATTGCTTATGGAAAAAGTTACATCTGCCTTGTGTCTGGTTGTGAACCTACCTGTGAAAATGATTGCCCAGCTAGCTCGGTGTGTGTGTGTGTGTGTGTGTGGGTGTGTGTGTGGGTGTGTGTGTGGTGTTAGCTTATAAATGAAGCATCTGTGATTAGCTCATGACCACTCTTCTTGGTCGATATTCCCACCATTTTCAGTGCTCTTGTTCCTCAATGTGGCTGCCTCTGGGGCTAGGGTATGATTGGGAAAAGCCCAAAGGAAGCTTGGCAGCTCAGCTCCGCCCTCAGGACACTTGCTACCTCTTGTGTGGTTTTCCCCATGATCCTTCCTGCTCCGGTTCTCCTACCTATTCTAATTATGTTCCCTTTGATTTGAACAGATTGGACGATAGGAACTCATAATGTTCCATCCTCACGGCGAAGCTAACTGATTAAGTGCTTTAAATTATCCTCCCTGACAGAATGATAAAGTTACAATCTGCTCTGAGATGATCTACAGCTTGCCAGCCTCCTACAGCTTCTTTCTACATTCATTTATCTTTTTGTCAAGAGGAGGGTTTTTTTTTTCCCTAAGCTTCAATTCCATAGATCTTTTAAAGTCATCAGCACATCTGAATTATTAATGAGGTTTTAGAGGCAAGACTCCTGATGGGCTGGTTAAAAAAGGTTGTATAGAAATCTGGGACTGTGTACACATCAAAATAATTTCAGCTCCATTTAAAAAACCATTTAGTTCAAGTGTGACATAGATGAACCATTATGCATTTGTGGAAACCAATTTCTTGTGATCTACGATTAAACTAACCTTTCAGAGAAGAGTAAAGTGTGATGGTTATCACGTTTAAAAGCATTGCCAGGTCTCTGAAACAATTTCCAACTAGGACTTTCTCAAACAGCTCATGTGCGGAGATGAGGCTCAGAGTGGGGTCTGCTGTTTACGCTGTTTGCCCAAGCTGCCCTTGGCTCTGGCCGCACAGTTCTGCAGAACGATTTTGCTGAAGGGATTTAGTGCTAGGCTGCACATGCCAGGTAGGAAGAGTAAGTCTTGCTGGTGGAAAGGGAGATGTGTTTGGGTGAAAGACCAAACAGATGCAATTTGCTGATTTTTTTTTTTTTACAACTGCTGCAGAGAATAACTGTTGAGAATTTAGTATTTACAGTTCAATTCAAAAGGGGCACTTTGACCTTTCACCATGGAGGGAATATCAGTTTCCTCCAGCTATCTGTAAGAGAGACAGCATTACTGGTCTCATTTAAATTTTTTCTTTCTCTTTAAATTTGCAACAAAAGACAAACTAGGTAGAATAGCCCCTGTGGTTTAGGAATGCAGCTTCAAGCAAGGAAAGAGTTGTAAGCAAACACCTCCAACTGGGAGGTGAGGTTCTCACTATCCCCATAAGCCACTGTTTAATTCAGTGTCTTCTAACCTCTAATGCCTATGCTGTGTGAGGCTTGGTCAAGTACGATGTTGAGGAAATTGAGCTAGCGAGCTGTTCTGAACCTTATATAGAATGTTTGGGGACAAAGGTCTCCAATACATCTTCAGAGAGAGGTACATTTTAGTGGTCACCATCCATTGGGCTTCCATGGAATGTGCTTTGAGCAAGACAGTGACAATTTGGCATAAGGAATCCTGTCATTCAAGGACAAAGCTGCACTATGAAACCGGATGGCTATGAAACCAGGCACGGGGAAGAGGACTGGAGCAGGGGTTCTAGGAAGTGCTGAGTGAGACAGGGAACTCCACCCAATGCTTGCCTAGCTCATTTCTTCTATGCGGCCTTATTTCAGACCCACGACGAGATGTTCTGGGGTCTATGAAGGCTTTTTTGGTGCCAGAATCCCCCACCCATAAAATAAAAAAAAAATGTGTGTTTGTCTTAGACTTCTTGAGAGTGATATACGTATGATACCCTATTCTGAGAACTCTGTGTGATCTGTCAGAAACTTTTGTCACAAGGTAGGGAAGGAATGACATGTCACTATCTGAATTTTTTTTTGTTGTAATAGGGTTTCTCTGTAGCCTTGGCTGTCATAGAACTTGCTTCGTAGACCAGCCTTGTCTCGAACTCAGAGATTCACTTGCCTCTGCCTCCCAAGTGCTGGGATTAAAGGTGTGCACCACCACCAGCTGACTGCTACATTATTGAGAGTGTAACGTTGTACAGCAACTAAGCCATTATGCACACTATGGACACACCACATGGAGGTCGCCAGTGAAATGGCTGCAGCTTGTGGTCTAGAGTGAAGTGGACCCGGCTCTCTCATATACCATCTGCTCTGAAAAGGCTGTGTAAAGTATCTTATTGTCCTTTGTTCTATAGAATAGGGCTGAGGAAATAGTCTTCCTTATCTTGTTGGCTAGGTCAACGAAACAGGTACCAATGGCTTACTACACATTCAGTTACATAGTAAGCAAAAGTTACTTGATAAGTTTGTTAATGCTTTTAATGATAGGGACTCTGGTGTTCTTCAGACTCTAATGTCAGTCACATGGGGATTCTAATATCCCCAACATCTGGTTTGATCATGAGAGTTGAATGTGTTTTCAACTGTAACTCGCTGAGCACAACAGCGGTAATGACTGCCTAAGCATTAGCTTTAAGGCTAGTACTGAGAAGAGTAGGATGTGGTTGGGTGGTACCTTCCATATGTTGTGTTTACAAATGAAGTTCTTCAATGGAGAAGCCAGAGGCAGAGACCTAGGATGTATAAATTGGGGACTTGCCTGAAGAATGTAGATGTGGCAATAGAGATGACGAGGGAGGATCTTAGGGGTACACTTCATCTGGAAGGTGACTGAGAGGAAGGGTAATATGGTGTTGTGCTAGGGAACTCAGGGCTCTCATGTAGTGGGTCTTTGTTTCTGACATCAGTCTTCCCTTGATGTTTGGAGAACCACCTATGCCTTCCAACACCACAAGAGTAGGGTTTAGAACAAGGGTTTAGATTTCTTCCTGGGGGACAGTTACTATGGTTAGGAAGGGATGAGCTCTCCAAAGCTCCACAAACAGAGGGAGAAACAGTTGCACTAGGAACACTGAGTCTTTGCTGGCTCCATGGGCTGTCAGTGTCATGGGCTTTAGCCCTTTCACATAACTATGCCCCCAAGAAGACTGCAGAAAGGGGGAACTGATAACACAGTAAAGGCACTTGGAACACTAGGCGCACTGTGGCATCATGAACTGAGGCTGTGAGAGCAAAGGCATGGATGGAAAAGATCCCATTTGGATAGCAAGAACAACAAGATAGCAACGGCTACAAGGAGCTCCAGCCTACAAGGGCAACTCCATGAGGTTTCCTTACTAACATTTCTGATAGGCAGTGTGGTGTTCTTCCTCTGCTCGCAAAACCTTGATGATCCCAGGCAAAACTATACATCATGTCTCCTCTTCTTCTGCCTCAGCAGAACATAGCCATTCCATAGACATAAGCAGAGTCTCTACCAGACCCAGACAAGTTTCCCTGATCTCACTTCCCTGTAATGGACCACTATGACTGTTTGTCACTGCATCTCTGTACCCTGTCAAACCCCGAGGATACTCTTTCCTCTTAGGTAGCAGGAGTTGCTCTTACTAACTTCCATGTGCAATCTCCTTAGGAGAGATACTTAACCAGCTTAGTGACAGGTGCCCACAGCTAATTCCTTATCATATTATGACAAAGCAGGCATTGGCTGATGGAAGTTGGTGGAGAGATTGATTTGTACCCTGTCTTCTCTTCCACTCCCTGAAGTTTCTGTACTTTCTTGTTCTTCAAGGAGCCTATTGCTATAGGAACCTGGAAGGGTGATATAATTATCTCTATTGGGATATAGACAACTTGAAGGCATTCCCCATGCTAAAAGAGAGTCAGTCAAAGGTCCCTCTGGTCACCTAGGATCTCCATAATGCTGCGAACAGGCACAGTCAGTCTCTCTGGTCACTAAGCTTACAGGGCTTGCCCCCTGGCTTGGAAACAGAATCTGGCTCCAAGAGCCTGACACCAGCAAATCAGCTATGTCAACACCTCAGGCATTAATTGCCACTTTCCCAAAAATAAACCAAGGGGATGCGAATAAATTATAAAACAGTTTAAAACTGTGAAAATGATTAAGTTGAGAGTCTTTTGAAATACGTACATATTGCATATACCTACTTTAATCCCCTCAGTCATAAGCCCTAACTTCAGAATAGAATTTGAAATGTCTCCAAAATACAGTGAAAAGTGGAATGTGCAAGGGTCCATTTGAACTAGATTTGAAAAGAACTTCAGTAGCAGCTGTTAGGGATGCTGACAGGTTCACAGTTATCAGACAGCTGGTGCTGAGAAGACTTTCCTCCTAGTTTACCTACTCACTTAACATCGGCCTTTCCAAAGCTCAAGCAAATGGAACTAAAAGGCTCAAAAACTGCTTCTCTCTTCCAGCTCTGGGAAGATCACTGAGTTCCAAGCTGTAATTCATATTAAATCCATGCTTTTCTGTTCACCGTGTTCTCCCACTTTCTACCATTCCTTCTCTGTTTCTAGTCTGGGTGAGGGGGAGTAGGGAAGAGAGAAACTACGGAGTCATCTGCCTCCTTCCTAAGGGAGCTTCTGTCTGTAAGAGGAAGTTTAGAGTCAAATAGAAAATGATGGAGGAGAGTCTTCACTCTTTTAAGAAAAATATAATATAGAAGTTTCAGCTCTTAAGAGAGAACTCAACACAATCCCTTTGCCACCATCAGATATATTAGTGGTTGTCGCTCATCAGTTCTCAATAATCTCAGTGATCTACCCAGTGGGGAGTGTGTGCCCAACGTTCAGGGAAAAACCCTAAATTTCATTTTATGTCAGTCTGTTCCCATTATAGTCAATCACAGTCTCAATTACAGGAGCCACTAACCAAGAGCATTAAAAAGACACTTTGGATTTCTATCTGTCTGCCCCATTTGTGGTTGGGATTTAACAAAACTCTGAAAGGCAGGTGGCAGGAGACACATGAGTACTGTCCAGACTGAGTCATCAGCCCCTTCATCACTGGACATGCACTCTCAAATTGGTTCATACAGCTCACCAGCTTTGGGTTCAAACAGATAAAGAGACCAATGCATTGCCATTAATAACCCTCATACTACAGATGACCGCTAACAGGGAAGCACATTCGCCAAATGGAATAGCTGTGAATGTTTTACAGAAACAGTTATCAACTGGCATCATCGCTCGATTTGGTGGGTCTTGCCAAGATCAACACAGAGAGGTAAACAGACCGATGGGGGCTGGGTTTGGGCGGTGGTGGTGATGGGGGAAGTGGAGGAAGCTGGGTTTTTCAATGGGAAAATGCTTTTGGATTTGGGGCAAGGTACCAAGGTGGGCGGGGAGGCCACGTGCAGATTTGAAGGCAAGCCAGATGGAGAGAAGTTACCCCCAGATTACCCAATCCCCAAACCCAAGAACACCAAAACAAACTCTAAGGGATCTAGCCATAGCAGCAGCACAGCCTCATTGCGCTGAGCAATTGAGAAAGTGGAGGAAGAAAAAGAAGAAGGAAGGAAGAAAGGAAGGAAGGGGGAGGGGGGAGAAGCAAAACAAAATAAATAGAACCACAAACAGAACAATAAAAATAAAAATAAACAAACCAATAACAGAATAAAATTTGTAACTCCTTTTTTTAATTCCACAAAAGTTTCACAAGGACAACGTCATAGAAGAAAAAACCCCCAGCAGTGGCTAGGTCATGCAGAACCATTAATTGTCATACCTTGGCCCATTCTAGTCATCCTTGTTGCACTTTAGAGAGAGAAGTAAGCTATGTGAGTTTTACAATGCTTTTCAACTGTCATTATTTCCTGTTGAGCACTTTAACTGGCACATTCTTATAGTTATAAATGTTCTGAGGGCATAACTTCATAACCTCCTTTGCAAAGAATGCATGAAGATCTCTCATAATCCAAAACTAGGGGATATGTATATATAGTTATATATATATATATGTATATATATATAGTCATATATATAGTTATATATAAAGAGATAGATATATGTCATATATAAATCAAAATACATAAGGACAAAAATAATTTGAAAAAAAAATACTTCCACTCACAGGACTTTTGAATTTGCACGTACACAATGACTCCCCACCCGTTGCTGGTTGGAGTACTGCACTGCCCCTGTCTTTGGTGTGAGAGGAGGTGGAGGTTCTGATTGAGCCTCACCATTTTTGTCAGTAAAAGTGCTTGTCAATCACACAGCAAGCAAATCTCCAAAATCATCATGCTGGAAGGGACAGGGGATCCAAAATCTAAACCCAAAACATTCACCATAAAAACACCTTTTTTAAAAAGAGACGCTACAGCTACTACAAACTTTCCCCTCTTTCCTGCCCTTCATTCTAGCCGTGGATTTCTAAGTAAACATCTCAAATAGGCTCATATGCACCCAAGGCTAGTCTATCCATACCAGAATTTGGTTATGGTAAAGTTGGCCAATTCCTCAGAACTCCTATGTTCCTAAAATATAATTTGCATGCATAAAACATCTGGTGATTGCATATTGGGGAAAAGGGATCAGTCTATCTTCCCTTCCTTGTTGACTAACAGTTTAAAAAAAAAGAATAAAAGAAAACAAAAAAATAACTCCTGAAATGTGCTTGGCTGGCTGTCACAGCCGTTTCCTTCCCATCTTCAATGACAGGAGAAGCTCTCTTCCCCATCACTCGCTTGCCCATGTGAATTGGCTGTATGTTTAAGAGGTTGCCTACGGTGAGCTCCTGCCAGCCTTCTGCTTTGGGACAGAGCATCACACAGCTGTGCTAGCAATTTAAATGTGGGCACTAGTTTTTGTCTTTGTTGAGCCAACCAACTGTGGCTCCATCCTCCTATATCCTGATTTATCTAGCATGTCAGCTCCTACAGAAACCATTATCTGTCGCTGGGTCTTTCTCCCTCTCATTTCACCATTGCTCCAGCCCGAATTCTCCTGGCTTTGGGGCCCTTGGTAGTCAAACAAAGGGGAGTAAAAAGGTCCCCTGAGAATACATGGAAAAATACTTGCTCTTTTCTGAGCGTTATTTATTCTGTACATAAGGTAAGTGATTCACCTTTTAAAAGATGTAAAAGTCCCAGGAAGGCAGTTCTTAATGACTTACATTTGATATTTATGATACATATGGCTTTTCATCCCAAATGTCAAAAGTGAAAGAAAAAAAAAAACTAGCTATCCCTATGGCAGCATAAGGAGACAGAATAACAATTTAATATGCAACCAAACCTCTTTTCAGATATATAAAATGACTAGGATTTGATACATCCAGGGGTGGAAACCTGTTTTCCTCTTTGCATTAAAGTTAGAAACATTCACTTAAACTGCTGAAAGAAGTTAGCTCTGAGACAAAAAGGCTTTGGTGAATAAGTTTAAAAAAATCTCTGATGCTTTCTCACAACAAGCAGGTGCTTAATCATCTTCTGCGCGTACTTTGAAAGCTTTCCGAATGTTTTGTGATACTTTAGCCCAGAGTGGAAACGATCAATGCACTTTCATTCCTTTTGGTTGCTTGTTTCGAATGATTGTGTGCTAACTTACTGTGTGTATAGAAAAAGAGAGAGAAAAAAAAAACAACAAAAGAAAACAAATCAAAACCCAAAGCATTCTGATGACCCTGATAAATTGGAGTCAACCCGCTTTGCCTAACTGACAGACTGCAGGTGCTCCCTTCTAATCTGTGAACTCATTCCTGTAGCGAGCTATTTACATCTGGAGGATGCCTCTGGGTTATTCCCCCTCTAGAATCATAAATAACTTTTGGTCCGTCCGCTTATTTGCTGTTGTGTTCAAGGGTTTTATGGTGGTGAAATAAAAATGACAACCACATGCACACTATCATACATATGCAAATGTGTAAAAAAAAGGAAAAGAAACAAAAAAAGAGGGGACTACAGGGAACAGGAAAGTTGCTCTGTTGGAATACCAACTGGGAAAATGAGTAGCAGATACAGTTTCACACACGGTGCCGGTGGATACACATATCAAAGTCGCTCTTCCTGAACGTACTTCTGTTTGTCGCGAGACTCCCTGGACTTGGGCCGGTTCGGCCGATTCGCTGTGGACGGGATGGAGTGGACGGAGGAGCTCTTCTTACTGGAGGACTGTGAGGAGTGGGAGGAATGAGACAGGCTGGCCCGCGATTGGCCAGCGTTGTGGTCAAACTGCATCAGGCAGAAGATCAGGTCTGTTGGTACAAGCTCAAACTCGTAGGGGGGATTGGTGATGACATACCTAGAGAGAAAAAGCAAAGGGGTCACAGGCTGAGTGGAGCAGACACACGACTTAACTCTCCCTGAGTCAAAAAACAAATTGCCTGGCAGCTCCAATCTATCTGAGGAACTGGATGATGGTTCAGTAGACTTGAATCATCTTCCGAATGAAAGGAAAGCTTCATGTTTAACTCAATGAGGCAGTCAGAAGACCAGGCAAAGGTGCCAAGTGAGAGCTGGTAATGAAAAAAGCCACACCATAATTCATATGAACCATATGCATTTTTCTGTACAAAGGTCCAGTTCATGATAATCAGTCACCTGATTGGGCTGTAGCTTCTATACTAGAAATTCCTGACAACCATGGATACCCCACAGGATCTCTGTCTTGCCTACAACTTCTTGAACAACAGTTCCCTGATTACAAGAGCTTGACCCGCCTCTTCCCTATTATAGCAAGCTTTCTATGGAGGGCTACGGTGATCACCATGCTTGCTATGCAGCAATGGATGCCTAAGTGTGTTCTCAGAGGCTCCCAGGAGCCTTAGAACAAATGCAGGCTGTTGACCTGGGGAAGGAGCTAAGTGGCAGAGCTTTTGCCTTGCAGGCAAGAGGCCCTGGGTTCAACAAGTAGCACTGGAAAGAAGAAAGGAAAGAAGGAAAATGAACTAAAAACAGAAGAAAAAGTTTAAGTAACCTCACTCACCCTGATCTGTTGACTCCCAAGCCCTGGGGTGGGAGACTCGGTAATCCGGCCTTGGGAAGCTCTATAGGCGAATCTCATATTCATTGCCATGTAGGAACACATGAGTATACAACGATTTTTTTTGTTTGGTTTGCCAGACAGGGTTTCTCTGTGTAGTCCTGGCCATCCTGGAACTTGCTCTGTAGATCAGGCTGCCCTTGAACTCAGAGATCTGCTTCCTGAGTGCCACTACCTGGCATTAGACTGCAACAATTTTTAACTCTGGCTATATCCTGTAATTCTCAGGCATTAAATATATAAACATTGGCATATAATTTTAAAAATGTATGTATGTTTTTTCTTACACACTGTGGAAATTACTCTAATCACAGTATTTTTTAAAGTAATTTATTTTTATTTTATGTGCATTGGTGTTTTGCATTCATGTCTCTGTGGGTGGGTGTTGGAGGCCCCAGAACTAGAATTACAGACAGTTGCTAGCTGTCGTGTGTGCTGGGAATTGAATCTGGGTCCTCTGGAAGATCAGTCAGGGCTAATAACTGCTGAACCAGCTCTCCAGCCCCCAGAATTTTTTTAAATTCCCCAGATGATTTTATTCTACAGATCTGAGAACTACCTCCATGGCACTATTCCCTGGATTACACTACACTACAGATCTGAGAAGTACCTCTACAGCACTATTTCCTGGATCACACTACACAAACTCATGGGTTTGGGTAATTCTAGGATTACTGTTTTACCTGCTATGAGTTTAAATTAAGGCATGTAAGGAAAAGGATAGCTATCATACCCAAACCACCATATATTCTTGTATAAGGTGATAATATAAAAGTTTCTTAAACTTAAATATACGAAAGAAAGTGAATCAATCAATTCCAAAATCTATCATCAGTGTGAAACACCTCCACATTAGGAACCAAGAAAGTGATGTGAGGAACCAGAGTTGGGGATTCTGGCTTTTGTAATGGGGTAAACAAATCCTTGTCTCAGTGACTTCACATTCATTTTCAGTATTTTTTTTTAAAGAAATATTTCTTATAACTCCTCGGCTCAGTGTTACATTTGATGCGGACAGTATGTTGAAGGCATGCACATAGAGACCTTTGCCTACAGGAAACGAGAGAAGGCACTGATGCCAAGCACTCAGGTGAGAAGGCAAAGTGGGACAATGCACTCACCTTTTTGTACACTGACTGGGGGTGCTGAGGTGGGCATCTCTCAGCCGGTAGATTCCAAAACAAAGCATATTATACGTTTTCAGAGCTTTGCAGAACAGATCACCGTAACAACCACCATCCTGGGAGGCAACAAAGAACAAGAGAAACATCAGCTTCTGTTTGCCTGGTAACTGAGGTGGGGGGGGGGGCTTTTCATCAAAGCTTGTTTTCTTGTCTCTGGGGTTGGAGGGTCTATGCCAAGAGCCTGTGCCTGAAGACATCAGCATGGTTAACAGCTTGGATCCAGTATGTCTGACTCCAGGGAATTGACAAGCACAGGGGCTTCCCCTGGTGGCCACAGAGTTGTGTCCAAAGCTCAAACACACTTCTGTCTTCCTTCACCTGGGATGCGGAGGTGCCACTGGAAGGTCTTAGCTGTAGAGCTAGAGAGAAGAAGTGAACTCTGCAAAGCAAGAATTATATTCCCTCTAGCTCCGCTGTGTCCGCTGTGATGAGACCATATTGTCAGAGCTGCCCAAGTGATAATGAACAGCACTGCAAGAATAAAAGAGCAGCCCCAAGCCCTATGGTGAGGAGACTCCAATAAGCACTGTGTGAAAAGCACAATTTGCAGACCACAGAGATGTCCAGGGGAAGGGCATGTGGGAGTCTGCAGGTGTGGTAGCTGGGATTCACTGCACTAATCAGTTCACAACCACCCCGAGTTCTGGGGCTTAACTCAGAAGGTGAAAACAATGTGATTGTTTGCAAATGCATAGAAAATTCTGGACTTCAAGCAGGTATGTGACACCAAGCAGACTTTACTATACAGATCAGGACGACAGAGTAGACTCATTAGAAACCGAGAGAATGTATTTGCCTTCGCTATCACTGGAATTCTCATGATGAGCATCATATTAGACAATACATGGTCCCACATTTTTCCATTACTGAAAATATTAATCTGGTACAACTGGATTAGTAAAGAAGTGATAAGGATAAGAACTACTGATGATGGAAATTGACCTTCAAAACAGCCTCAGTCTAATAAAGGTCCTGGCCCATCAAGCAGCCATTTGATGTGTTATGAAACAAGACCTTTTCCACAATGGTGCATTCTGGGCAATATATAGTGTAATAGGGATATACATTCTTAGGCTCATGGTTCCATTCCTTAAACACATCTATACAGGTGCTTTTGGAGTCAAGGTCAAGGTGGCACACTTTCTCCAAAGTGTCTAACACAGTACAGAGTAGTGAATACAGAGAAACTAAAGGAAACTCTGGTTCCATCATTAAAGGAGGTATAGGGAAGCAGGGCTTGACCAAGACTCAGAAATCCCAAGACCAAGGTTTTGCATTAGAGACGTCAAAGCATCAAAGGTGCCAGTTGAGAACCTGTCACTTTGGTCAATTGTTCTGCACACACACAACTGCCTTGATGCCTTACCAGTGCCTGGATGATACTATGAACAAAAACTCCTGAGAAGAAGTTATGTCTATAGAGACTGATGATTAGAACTGCAGTACTATGGCAAGATTAGGAAGCTTCTGGTCCAGAAGCTAATTACCATATCTTGGGATAGTTCTATCCCTTTACAGCAACCATTCCCTGCCCACTTCTGCTGTGGAATAACCCTCTTGTATACTGGAAAGATTTGTCACTTGAATTGGTTTAATCAAACACTGATTGGTCAGTAGCTAGGTAGAAACTATAGGTGGGCCAACCAAACTAAGGATGCTGGGAAGGAGAAGGACAGAGTCAGGAGTCTCAAACCAGATATAGAGGAAGTAAGATGAGAGTGTCATACTGAGAAAAGGTACCAAGTCATGTGGCTAAACATAAATAAGAATTATGGCTTAATTTAAGAGTAAGAGCTAGTTAGGAATAAGCCTGAGCTACTGGCTGAGCATTTATAGTTAATGTACGATTCTGTGTGATAAACTGGGAATCAGATGCTGGGTATTTGAGAACTGGCAGGTGGGAAAGAACTGTCCATTTGCACACCTCTCTGTCAGAACTAATATCTTGTGGCTAACAGAACCCTTTTTGGAATCTATTAACTTAGAAGATCTTGAGCTTAGTCAAACCCAAAAGCTAAGAAAATCATTAGATAACATCTGGGGCCTCTAGGAAAGCTTTATACATCTTGATGTATTTGTCTCTGATGCACCCATCAATGTATTTTAAAGTTGCCTTGATTTATAACTTTCCTTGATCGGTAAAAACCACACAACTTCATGAAACTGCTTCCAGGTGGGAACAAGGAATTCAGGCTAACCTAATCTGTGTTCCTCAGCCATGGTCCCTCAAAACCATCAGAATAAACTATCTCTCATTCCCTTTTAAGATGAGAGCTATATTTTTTTTGTCAACAGTATATTGATACAAAAACTCTGGTGGCAGGATTTGAGGCCAAGCATCCCCATGTTCAGATAGAGTCAAAGTGGAGTATCTCTGAGCTATAAGGACCCTGCAAAAATGTTTCCTAAACTTCGCTATGTGGTGTTGGTAGCTACCCCTTCTACCCCTGGGAAGAAAATACTGGAGGAAGGCAGCAGTGAAGGTGAAAGCCGTATCTCCAAAGGCAGGATGCTTTGGTGCAAATGTCCCATGCCTTAGTTGCCTGAGAATTATCAATGATTTGGTGAGAGGATTTGCATGAATGTGTATGTATAAGGTGTGGGGCCTGGTAAATGGGGTCCCATAAAGACCATCTTTTTAGTCTATTACAATGGAAGAGAAAAACATAGATGTCTAGCCTGTCACTATTTGACACAGTTCGTTCATATCAGGCTTGCTGCAAACACTGGGCTTAGAAATTGTCTGGGCTGTAGACTCACCCCTAAGTCTGCAAAGGGGCCATCCAACAGGGCTAACTGAGCCACTCGGCAACGGTCCCTGTTGGCCAGTGTCTGGGGAGTGCTGTAGCCCCCTCGAAGTGCGTTCTCCTCAGCAATCAGAGCCTCAAGTTCTGGTGTGGCTCCTCCTGTCACCAGGGTCCGTATCAGGGTGAGGATATTATCATTGAAGTATGTCTGTAGAAAGAAGGTAGAGAAACATTCTTAAGCAAACAATCTAAAGTCACTGGAGCTGACACCCAAATTCCAACTTTTGTTGATTATCTCGCAAGTAAAGTTCTGGGTTGTCTCTTCAAATAATTTTCTGTGGGAAAAGAAAAGACAGCAGTCTCCAGTTATTCCGTTCTCACCTGCTTGGTTCCACTATAGGATCCTGACTTAAAGGAAAGGAAATGAATAAAAACAATTCAGGGAATTCTTCTTAAAAGGTTAATGCCTGAAAAATTGATGTTGGTAGATAAACAAATACTACCTCGCCTGGGCTGCTACCCCAAAGAGGGCAACCTCTTAGAGCCTGTCACCCATATGTTGGGAGGAAGGCCACCTACAAATAGAAAAACTTTTTTCTGTTTGGAATTATATGCCAAAAGAATTTTGAATGCCACACACTCAACAATTTATCCCAGACTTTTACCATGGCTGGACCCAGAAGTCACCACTAGGACAGCAGCTGGGGAAGCTGCACATCCTGATGTGTGGATCTTGGGTTTGCAAATAACCCCAGCTGTCTGGGGCAAATACAGATGATTTAAAGAACTTCTTCCCTTCCATGGCCATTTTTTTCCCACATGGAATGTTCAGAAGAAGGCAATTTGGGGGGGAGGCTTTAAAATTAATAGAATGTCTAAGAAAAGACCTTAAAATGACATTTGTCACCCAGCCAAAATGGAGAAAATATCAGCTAAAGGTGCTATGTTCCATTTTCTTGCATGAGGAGAAGTCAAAGCCTCTACATAAAAACAAACCGGATCTTGGGTGTGGTTTTGGGGCATTTATGCACTGCTGGAGCAGGCTAGAAAAGACAGGTGCATTCTTATTTGCAACTTCCTTGACAGTTTACACGACAGTGCATCATGAGGCACAAAAACAGACATGGCTGAGCCCTCATCCTACCCGCGTCCCTAGCTCTGTGTTGTCCTGGGTATCAGTGTTTACAGCCATTAAAATCAGCATGGTTGTTAAAAACAAGTGTATATGCAAAGAATTCCACATGGGCCTTCAAGTTAAGAAGATGCTGCTGGAGGGCCTGGATTTCATGTTCCTTATTGAAACACTCAGCCAGAAAGCACAAAGAATCCCAGCTGCAAAGAATGCTGGGAAAGTTATACACAGGCTATCCTACTCAGGATTGATGCTCAAGAGTTCCGCTGTTCTCTGGGGTGGACAAGCAGAACTGAGGACACTCAAGGGAGCAGATGGAAGTGGGAAGGCTAAGAGGGCTGGGGTCGTGCTGAGGTTCGGTGTCGACTTCACCTTTCAGAAGCTCTGCTGCCTTCGAAAGTTATGAAACATTTTTGAACTTAGTATCATCACCTGTAAAATGGAATAGCAGAGCAGCTATAAGATACTTGGCGCTCAGCACCTGAGGGACTGAGAAGAAACTCAGGGCCCAGGAAGTGCTGGTAAATATGCCTGACCTGAGCCCAGAGACATGGGGACTGTTGATGATGGGCAACAGCCACTCTCATATTCAGATATCGCTTGGTCATTCTTGTTACTGTTTCAGTTTTTGTCCCAGAAGATGGACGGCCATTATTCCCTTCATTCTGGAACCTCTTATCTCTCAGTCAGCCTCAGTGCCCGGGTTTCCTCCAGAGCTGTGATTCTCAACCTTCCTAATTCTGTGACCCTTTAATACAGTTCCTCATGTTGTGGTGACCCACAACTACAAAATTATTTCTGCTATGAATCATAAGATATCCGATATGTAGGATATCTGATTATGATCCATGTGAAAAGGTCATTCAACCCCAAAGGGGTCAAGAACCACATAGAGAACTGCTCCTCTAGATAAAAGAAGAACACAGTGAAGGTCCTGTGAACTACATCCTGGAGATTTATTACATGGATTAAAGACACACAAACACTTCCCAATATTTTCCCTATGGTCCGATACCCTACCCAGTCCTATCTATCATATTAAATAATGGAGAACTGGACAGAAAACTGACAACTACCTTTGTGTTCCAATTACCATGCTAGACCAATGGCTGGGAAATTACTCTAACAGCAGGTAAGTGGATGGCAAACATTAACAGTACTGTTTGCTGAACCACTAAGTACTCTCTGCCAAAATGTACAGAAATGAGGAACAGTTGTTTTTTTGTTTGTTTGTTTGTTTGTTTGTTTTTCAAAAGGAAACAGTTTTCAAAATAAAACACTGAAGAATCTTTTTGACTGGGTAAGTAGTCATTAGAAGATCTAACTCGCCAAAGTATAGAGATTAAGTGATAGTAGAGTGATTGACCCCACCTGGAGCACCCTCTCCAAGGCTCAGGGAACATCACCCAAGAAGGGCAGAAATAATAGAAGCCAGAAGATGGAGAGATAAGAGGTCTTGTAGACTTATTAACTACAGCTGTGGTCATCTTCCAGGACCTGCACAAAACTGGACCAACTAATATCTCATCGTAGATAGGGAAGGAGCCAGGGAGGCCCCACCCCTGCTTGAGGAACTACTGGCAATTATAAGATGTCTGTGGAAAGGCTACTTTCTTCAGTGGTGTAGCCACTGGCAAGTTTCCTTGCTCCAGCGAACATCCTCTCACCTATGTTCATGCAAAAATCACCAATTAAACTCATTGAATCACACACACAAAGACCATGGGAAGGAAAGTGAGACTTACTGAGATGAAGAGTTTCAGTAGGACAGAGAAAGGAGAAGAGATCAAAGTGACTAAAATTCATTATATATAAATGTGTGAAACCGTCAAAAAAAACTTAATAAGGAGCACACAGATAAAACAGTTAATGCACACTATTTTAGGGTGGAAGAGCAGGTGCTTTCCCATTAATATCAGCAACAAAGAAGATCTTTCTCATGACTTCCATTTTAAAATTGTGTTGGAAGTTTTAGTTAGTAGGAAAGAAATAAAAGACATTCATACTGGAAATGAAGGAAGATTATCTCCACCCAAAGTGGCCTGGCGCTGTATAAAGAGAATCCCTAGGAACCTGCTTTAGTGATAAAGCATAGGTAATAAGGGACTAGTAAGATTTCAGGGTACAAAAAACATTATGCAAAAATTAAACCTTTTTCTATGTGAACAAGAAAAATTTAAGAAAGAAATTCTACTTCCAACAACATTGAAAATGATGAAATGCTTAAGAAGAAATTTTTTCAAGAAGTTCCAGGGCTGATATACTAAAAGCTATACAACATTACAAAAGATATGAATGAAATGTAAATAAATAGAAAGATGTCCCATGTTCTTGGATTGGAAGATAAGATTAAAATAATAATAAAAACCTTAAACATTATACAGATTCAAGACATTCCTATCGAATTTTATAGGAAACTGCAGAAAACATAAAATGTTATATAAATCATATAAAAAGCAGCCAGCAATAAAATTGAAAGTTCCCAATCCCTGATTTCAACATCTACTACTAACATGAGCATGATGCCTGGCCAAGAGAACAGAACTGAGCATCTAGAAATAAACACATAGAACTACTATTTACTGGCTTTCAATGAGGATATCAAGAAGCTTTTTAAAGAAAGAATAGTCTATTAAATAAACAGTGTTACAAAAACTGAGCATCAACATACAGAAGAAAATGTTGGCCCTATTCCTCACACCATATACAAAACAACATGAATCAAAGACCCAAATGTGACAGCTAAAAGTGTAGAAAGGTAAGAAGAAATAACAGTGGTGAATCCTCATAACTTCACTTTGACAATTATCTTAGATAAGGCACCAAAATCATAGACTACACAAGAAAACTTGATCATTTCTATCTCATAATATTTTTAAATTATACACTGGAAGCCGCTATGGAGAAAGTAAAACTTCTCTGTAGAATTAGAGAAAATAATTTGAAAATAATGTATCTTATAAGGATATAGTATTCAGAGTTTAAAATCCACCAATAATGTAACAACCAAAAGGCAATAAATTTGAAAAATAGAAAAAGGATGAGGCTTGAATAAACATTCCTTCAAAACAAGGTAGATAAGTCAGGAGACACAAGGAGGCCTAACACCAGTAGTCTTAAGGACAACACAAGTTCCAATCTTAACGGGAGTTCATCTTTACCCACGGGGATGGTTATGATAAATCAAGGGACAGGTAAACAGCAAGAACTGATGAACGTGGAGAAACTGGAGCCCTTACAGACTTCTGTAGGTGTGTAAGTGTTCCGATCATTGGAAGCAGTCTGAAAGTTCTTTAAATGGGTAAATTTTGAGTTACCACAGGACCCAACAACTCTACATAACCAAGGGAAATGAAAGATACATCAGAACAAAATTTCATGCAGAGAGATTCATAGCAGCATCATTTGCCATAGCCAGAAGGACCGGAAACAAATAAAATGACACTCGGTTAGTGGATGCATCACAAAATGTTATAACAGTGGAAACAATTTTATTTGTGTATAAAAAGAAATAAAGTACATGTTACAACAAGGATGAGTCACAAAAACAAATAAGATTCCATTTATATGAACCATCCAGAAAAGACCATTCTAGAGAGATAGGGATACATGCCCGTGGATGGTCAGGGTTGAGCGGCTAAAGCAGTAAGGAAAATGAGGACAGAGTTCTCTTGGAAGCTATGAAACTGTTCTTAAAAGATCCTTGGAGATGTTTACATATGCTTAAAAAAACCCATAAAATCGTATACTTGGGTGAATTTCATGGTCTATTAATATTCCAATAAAATACTTCTTAAAAGAACTGGTTAAAAGATAATTACATGGTTAAGAGATAATTACGTTTATAATGGTTAACTTTTTATATGTGGAAGAGAAGCTATAAAACGGAAAACTGTAAGTACATACATAGATGCAGGTGTGCACACATGAACCCCCCACAAACATGTGGAGACACACACACACACACACACACACACACACACACACACGGTTAGTGGTGGGGAGTGCGTGCTTTACTGTCCTTAAAAGAACAGAATAAAACAGAGGATCTGATAAACACTGAAGCTGGAGCGCGA